GTGTACCTCAAATGGATATCAACGGGGATCAAGACGAAATACTAGCAACTCAACAAGGTACACAGGCATATTTTCAAAAGCTGGAATAAAGTTTAGTGGATTTTTTATCAAGTTCTCATATTCTACGATTTCGCTAATGCTTCACATAGTTTTCTGAGCTTGACATTTAAAGCTTCTGAGTTGTTGCATGAATTTAATAAGCATGACTGCCACAAAGCATTAGAAACAAAATAAAGCAGGAACTGTGTGCAAACTTCACTCACTTCTTTCTCAAAGGCAATTAAAATAGACAAAGGGTAATAGGAAAAATTAAGCCCTCTTCAGTTTGCCTAATGTAATGGTTTCTCACAACTATTTGGATTGCTTAAGATGGCAACATACCCTCGTAATTTTGTCAACGTCAAACATATTCCTCTTTACTGAATTTTTGTAAATTAAATATAAATTTGGTTAATACGCGTGTGGTAAATCGCCAACAAGTGTTAAATTAGTTCATGCATGTTCTGGCACAGCCAAATGTTTTACCCTACCGTGCTTAGAGTCTAGCTCAGAATTATCCCACTCATATTGGCATATTATGAGGCATTTAAACTTGCAATCAAAATACGCACTAGATGTTGAACTACCAATAATTTGTTGATATACAAAAACCTATTATATTTAGTGAAAAACAAAGAAACGCTTAGCAGTTTTGTGCAACTGGAAGTCGATCCAGAGGTTTTTGGACTATTTAAATTGGCCAAAATATAGAATAAAATTCAGCATTTTATATTGACAGTAATGTATTCCTTTATAGAAAATATTTTGAAATTTATCAGGCTTATTGAAAACCTACAGATGCACTGAGCCTTGACGGAAGTTAGCGCTAGTAGTTTTTGGTGCGCACTGGCAGCGCAGTTCTGAGAGTCTTGGTTTTGTTCATAAACACGCTAATTTGTATGCTGGCCCTTTCTTTTTGAACTGCAGCCAAGGTAGTACTCGATAAATAGACATATTTGGCATCGAACTTGCGTTAAATTGAGAGGCTTAATGTAAATTTTAAATTTCTTGCAAAGTTTAAATTGTTCGCACTGACTTTATCACGTTAACAGTAAGTTCCCATTATTTTAAGATCAACAACAACTTGAGAGTTTTTGCATTAAGCTGCTCCAAATTACAGAAAGTTTCAACTATCAGATATTCTGCAATAAGTATTTCTTTAAGAACTAAGTTAATGTCAGATTATATACTTAGTTAAAACAATTCTGCAGCTATGTAGGCATACGTATATAAGTCATAATGACTGTTTGTATAAAGTAACAAGTTCAAAACATATAGGTAGTCGCAAATGACGATGCCATAGCATTTATCGCAAGTGCCATCCTTGCCCCATTTAAATAAGTCTTACGTTTGCCCGTAACCATGATAACGACCATTCAGATAAGCGGTACCTAGATCCATTGTCTGACGCTAGAAAATAGCCTTCCCATGCTAATGCGAGCTTTTGTCGTCTCACCCAAAGGCAAAGTAATATGCCAGAATGTCAACAAGTGTGTAAATATGTCAAGAGTGACCCTGACCTGATGGATGGATGCGGATTAACACGAATGGGGTCGTCAGTAGGGTGATGAGACATCTTGGAAAATCCTGGATCCCCAGAAAAAGCTTATCTGTATCTAGTACACTAAAAAATACAAATAAATGCTTGTTTAAAACGTTAAAATATGCGATAAAATATCAGGCAAATTTGAAATTGTCCTTAACATTCCTTTAAACAAAGTGTGGAATATGATAAGGACATTTTGTGTTTAATACAACTAATCGAAGCACGAAATGCTAATTTTGTCTAAATCTGTAAGATGGTTACTTACCAGTGCTATTTATATTTTATACTCCTCCAAATAGGTATTAACCAAAATGTGCTTCAGGTAAAAGCACCCCATATTTCTAGTGTCCACCAAACATTTACCTTTTGAATACGATTTTTTTAATTTACAGTGTTGGTAAATGAAAACCTCGATGGCTGATCATTTAAAAAGGACGAGATTTTGAGGTCACCTAAAACATTGCTGACAGCAACTTAGCTGATTTTTTTCAATTAGATTCCTGTTACATAATTACATTTAAAATAAATTGTTTTGCATGGCTTAACAGATAGAATGCTAATGAAGTAAATAAACAGGACACAACTGAAAATAGCGCAAAGCAGCGAAACTAGACCACGCTCACTATGCTCCGTTCTCCACAATATTCGGATCAATATGACTGCAATAGCCAATTTTCTTCATTCTTCATTCATTCTTTATTTATGCCATTACCTTTAGGGTCCTGTGTTCTAGATAGCCTCACTCGCTGTCACCTGATTCGACAAATAGTCGATATATAAGGTTTTAGCAATTTGGTACTGTGATTAAATCAAAGTGTAACTGAAAGAGTGTTGCTAAATATGATTATAATTAGTTTAGCAAAATGTGTAGACATTTAATTTGTTATATCATATGAATAAAACTCTATGTTTGAAGGTTTGAAGTTTTCTGCCAATTTATCAATGGCAAAATTAAAACTCATGGTTCTAGCTCACGCAAACCTTGTTATAAAACACACTGAAAAAATTAAAATTACACCAAAGCTATCTTTCATGTTAGAGGAGTTGAACCTCGATCTCTTTTATGCTCAAGAGACTTGAACTATCTGAACTGTGTTATACCATTTTATTTTGTCGCAGAAAAACGACCATCGTTAGTTGCTGTTTAAAATAACTAAAATTTCCAACAGAACTCGTTCAATTAATATAAAGTAAATGGATTTGAAATACAGCTTTCGAAGATATTTTGCAGATATTGTAGTGACAATTCTGAATATTTTCAAATAAATAGTGGAAGTGATACAGTTTCTGAAATCCACATACACTGATTAAGGTTGTTACATACTTAAAAATGGCCATATGCTGCCCCATTGTGTTTTGCTTTCCCAAGGTACTGGGTGGTCGTTCTTTAAAAGTTCTTTAGGATTTTTAGGTACTGAAGATTCTGTCACTCGCCTTCACTCAAAGTGAATAATGATTTACTGGTGTCAGTGTGTTTAAATTACACAATTTGAAGAATTTTTTTACAGTAAAGCTCATTTTCTGAAAAAAATCAGTTTTTGGCTCAAGAGGTTCTGAAATGTACTGTCAATGCGGTGGAGGAAATTAGACAATAGAAGTTAACCTGTGTCTGTGGTGTAGCTACTTAGTCAATCCCTCAAAATACAAGTTAAATTTTCAAAAAAAACAAAAATGGGGATTTTGATAACTGGCAAGCAAATGTGAAGCACTACGCATTACCAAAATGCTTTTGTCTTTTACCGGAAGTTGCATTTATCAAAACCAAAGTTATGCATTGTAAGTTGACGATAAATCGTCCATTTTCCAACGAATTCGTTATACCTGTGCATTTTCTTCTTAAAAAATTCAATTCTTGACATTGCTTAGCTTTCGGCTTGTTAAAAAGGTTACATAGGTTTAAAAGAATGTCTTTTTCGTCGTGGACATTAAAAAGTAAAAATACACAGCATCATCTCTAAAGTTAGTGGCGCAAGTGATTCCTGCAAGAAATATCACTTGTCTGAAATTTAAAAGTTACACTCTTTTACAAACATTCTTAGTTGAGGCCAAATTTTTCTTACGTCTTAATTTATCTTTATTGGTTGTAACTTCGACAGTGGGAATTCAAGCCAAGGTTCTTGCTTTAAAGAACATCGCGAACCTCTAACTGACGTGAAGAATGAAATATGGGAATAATCGTTAATAAAGGCTTATAGGGTTTCTCGTAATGAGAACAATAAAAGTACTTAACTTCGTCAATTTGTAACACAAACCTAAATAATATTGTAAAGTAAGTTACATTAAAATACATTAGAGCGTCAATAGATCTGGCCAAGCAGAATGACATTTAGATGCATTAATTTTTATTACTTTGAATGGCAAGTGTGGGACCTAACATGCTCAATGTTACAGGTGTTTACTGGACGGTGAGAAAAATTTTGATTTTTCGTCAACATTTATTTAAACCGTAGCATGAAAGCTAACGCATTGTTTTTTTGTGTATATTAAAATTTAGGTGTGGGTCAACCAAAAAACTAAATTTAAATAAATCTGTTGCATGATATGAAAAACAAAAATGGGTCAAAAACAGTTACATTTGGCTGAGGTTTAACATGGCTTTTCTTAAATGATGTTTTGAATATTTTATGAGTATACTCAAAGACAGCACTTTTGTCATATGCGTTAGATAACAATCAAACATCCTTAACAATGAACTTTCCATCAAACTATCAATTAACTTGAGCCTTCTATCATTGTGGGCACCGCGAAATAATAACAAACTTATGTCCTTGGCAATTTAACTCAAGCTCGATACTCAGCTTGACTTGCATGTTGATAGACCCCATACATTGCATGATGAGCAAATTTTTGCTTCACACATGAAATCTTTTGCAAACTGTCTGAAGGAAAAGCTTTGTTTACGTCTGATTGACACCGTTTAGATTCTTTTCTTTTCTCTGTGTGTTGTTTTCCATTTTTAAACTCCCTAGTAAAAATTCTTCGTAGGTATTTGATGCTAGACGAAATTAACAGCATCCCCATTAGTTTTAATTGGGAACTTAGGAATTGTGATAGGAACTGATGTTACTAGTAGAGATCTTAAAAAAAGATATTGCTCATTTTTGCCTCGAAATTTATGTGAAATATCAACTAGTGCGTGCTAGTGAATGGAACTTGAAAGAAGCAATTTACTATCTACTTTACATGAACAAATTCGTGTTCGTAGATAAAATTGGCACACAATCTTGTGGGAAACATAATGCGGAATGTACATTTTCCATTTAGTAGCAGAGGTCAAGCAGTGGAGAAAATGGTCAAAGAGTATTTAGAGATAAGCAGATCACCAATCCACTTTCTGTCTCACTGCATGTCATGCACACGGAAAAACTAAAAGAGCATGCACTCAGTTAAAAAGTGAGGTATCATTAAATGAAAATTATGGTAGCTGTTTCTTTCCTCGTTTCTTCTTCAAGGCACTGTTTACCTTCAAAGATCCAGGAGCCTCTCCTCCCAGTTTTATGCGACTTTTCTGTTGGCCTTCAATTTTGCGTTCTGTGGAACTTGGGTTTCGGATGCCAGGTCCTCCATTCCTCGATTGCAGTTGACAACGGCTGTTGCGTATTTTTTTGCTACGCTCGGATGAAGAGTCACCAAGACCCTTTTCCATTGACTTCTGGTGTGTCGGGTGGGTTTCGGTCTTGGAATCTGAATTTAGACGCCTTCTCAATGTAAAGGTCTTTTGTCGCTGACTAAATGGGTGGTGGATGTTATCAGTCACAATGCGTTGCTTCCGTAGGTCCTCAGGACTACCGAATTTTGATATATTTGGGCCGGTCAGCGAGGGCAAGCTCTGCCAAGGTACGCGAGAAAAGAACGCATGCTTCATTGCACCTCTGAGACTCAAACGCTGCTGTGGGTGGCGCACTAGCATCTTACAGACAAAACTCCGGCACTCGGGAGTCAGTTTACTGACTGCATCAGGTGGCAGTTCGAGCCGCCAATCGGGAGAAAGGTGCTGGTCCTGCGTGCTTGCCCAAGGCATTGGGAGGAAGCTAGGGGGAAATAGTATTTTCAGTCTAAATTGTAGCAATATTTTTGTACAAACGGGTTGACAAACGACTTGTAACTCGTGGTACATATGGCCGCCTCATTAGTATTTGGTGACCTGTGGTAAATTCCTCCCCGAATTGAAGTGTTTTCCGTATTTTAAAAAATTTTCGGATGACGTAAAAGAAGGCAATAATTTAAATTAAGGACCTGGCACTACATGGGAGACTCATGTTTAGAGGTAAAGCCATGGGGACTCATTTTGATTCGGACTGATAAGTTTCGCAGAACGGTCAGTCTGATGGCAACTAGTCAAGAGACTCACAGTTAAAATCTGATTTTGCCTTATTGCTTCACTTGTCGATAACCTACATTTCTTGTTTTTATCAATATCTTGTTAGTTTAAAACAGATATACTAAACTGTACACTTAGAAAACCTATACACTGTGCGAGTGCCAAGTCACGTGCTGTCATTCGTCTCAATGATCAACAACCTAAACTTTATTTTTGCTACAGCCATAAATAACCTTTAAGGCTAAAGGACCACCTAAAATCATTTCACATGGTTCATTTTATTTAAATCATGTTCGAAGTATGTTCTTTGTTGTCGTATACATATTCTCGTTATCCAAAACCTTCACCACACGTTTGGAGTTATTCATGACGATTAACGTCCCTCTTCTCTGTCGATGCATTGCCAAGAGTCCACTTGCTTGTTCACCTTCTCCTTTTCACCGAGCCCATCTTTTATGGGTCCATGTCTGACGATCCACCCACATACACAGTGTGCATCTGTGACTTCCAAACGTGCACGACTATGCACACACACGGTCATGACTCTTTTGCCTCTGGTGCCCTCAACCTTCTCGGTATCTGGGCCCTGTGATGGCTATAATTGCTGATTTGAGACCCATTCCGGCTTCTACATGGAGTAATACCGGCTCAACCTCGGCACAACGACAACTCAATTTAATCCCCCTCTTCGGTTAGCTTGAAAACAAGACTCCTTGACATTTTAAAATGGCCAGAGAATCTTTAATTCTGGGATCCGATACACAATATCTTATAATTTTCTTTGCGGGGTAAGATCAAAGGATCTGCAACACCCTCTGTCATATTCTCACGACTTGCGTGATGGTGCCTAAGGCTACAAAAACGATACGTGCTTATTCATTATATTTAGGTAGCAGACCCACAGTATGGGTAATCCGCCGTTTCTGTCTTGTAAATTGAAAATTTTCTTTTTTGCAAATATCCAAAGCACTTTATTTCTTAAAGGATAAGGAGTCATGGTAAAAATGTCGTAAAATATCAATGTGTACGTTCAGGGTCATAAATTTTTTTGCAAGTCACTGTAGGCAGCAAGTGATCAGAAGAGAATCACATAAGAAAATTTCCAAAATGTGTCGAACACATAATGGTACAATTTATTTCATTTACTGTAAGTTATTAAATTCTGCTTTCGCGATTAGAGCTTATCATTGCAAGCATTACAACTGATTTGTTGACCGTTACTGACCGCCCGATAAACCCGGGTTAGCGTCGTGCAAGAAAACCCCACACACGTTTAACCTGCGGCATTTTATTACTAACGCCGTCATCATCACCCTCTTTTTTTCAACTTATCACATACATTAGGGTTGATGAATTAGCAAGGCTATAAAGCAGTGCAGAGTTTAAATCCAGGAAGCAAGTCAATTTATTTGTAAATGTTTTCTGGCTGCGGTGTATGAAAATGAAGACTAGATTTAGATCTGAACGCGTTGCAAGTTATGACTTGCTAGGTCGTTATTCATTCGCGCGTTAGAATGTACTGATGAACAAAACAGGCCTTACCCATCTAGGACCCACTGAAATGTGCTTCTCAGTATTTTCAATAATGATTACATGATTGCCAAATCTGAGTAAGCTTAGTGCAAGTTTTGGGGTACACTGGACTGGTTGGCATAATCTTCGAACGATTTTAAAAAGGACTTTGAAATCCGGCAATTCAATTACAAAAAAACGTTTTAACCTTATTCTAATAATACTGACCTTGTAGCGAATTCCGTTAAATCACAGCCGTCACCACGGTTCACCTATGGCTGGTCATTAATATTCCACGTCTCTTGATGAACCACTTGACCTTGTTCTTATTGTTCCGGTCCTGATTTCACGTTGTAAACAATCTCACCACATATCAGTGCAACTCTGCATCTCGGAGTCTCAACGAATATCTTTTGTAAACTCACCTGTAGCACAGACCCAGACCATGTATGCTCACGAAATATTGATGCGCGTGAGTACTCAACTTCAGCATCCCAGTAACTGGTTGAGTCTACGACCCTTCTCACTCTTCTTTGAGTGTTTGGTGTCGGATCCGGTGGACATCGAACGTACACTGAGGCTTTTAACAACTTTTAAAGCAATTTAGCTTTACTACGTCACTTAAAACCGGGGAATTAAAAGTTCTTATCGATTCGCGAAGATCAAGACTACAGCTTTAGTTACCTAAAATTTCGTTTAAAGCCAAGGCACTTGAATTCATTTAAATTAAGTCAACACTGCTGGCAATTAGGCTGGGTTTCACACCAATAACACAATGCATTTTCAACTTGTTACACAGAACTGATATTACTTTAACACTAAATTAGATCAGTCAGACCAAGTTGTGGTGACAATTGGGTTAAGGGCCGAAAATAAATGTCTGATAATTTATCGAACAAGACTTAGAGATTAGAAAGCAGCTATTACAAAGACTCACATTCCATAGCCCAAAACCATCTCCACCGTAATGTAACCCAAGCCCCAAGAGTCGATGTATTGGTTGACTTCGGATGGTTCACCATAGATCTCAGGCGCGAGGTAAGCAGCAAAGTAGTATCTGGTTGGAGGATCATCAGTTTCATTTTCTGTGTCTAGGTCTGGAGTGGACCAATCGCAATTCTGATCATGTACCACCTCCACTCCCTGAAGAGATTCACCAGGTGCAAACTTGTCGCAATCTTCGTTGAGTTGCGCTTCTTTTCTAATAGACGGAAGGTACTTGGCCATGCCAAAGTCAATGAGTTTTGGACGGTTCAGATGATCAAGGACAACGTTTTCAGCCTTTAAATCTCTATAGGATGTAAACAAAAGAATTCAAATATATTTGAATTTATTGCCTAACATCTGTTTTAAGCAATTTAAGCACATCCTACATAAATGTTGAGTTAGGTCATCAAATCTCTTCACATTCAATCACCGATCTTCAAAGTCAGCTCAGTTGCTCTGTCTCACAAAGAAATCTCGTCAATTATTTACGCAATTCCTTTCTAACATGTGGTGTCTTTTCTGCCAATATTCTTTCAGGTTTACCGCAGCTCTT